GAGAGAGAGAGAGAGAGAGAGAGAGAGAGAGAGAGAGAGAGAGAGAGAGAGAGAGAGAGAGAGAGAGCGAGAGAGCGAGGGAGAGAGAGAGAGCGCGCGCCATACTAACTATTGGGATTTCATGAGTTTCGGAACAACACCCGCAGGAATTGCTGACTCCGGAGCGGGCGTTGCCTCTCTTTCCATTCCGATACGCTAGCTCGTCGCCTAGAAACGGATTGACAACAATAGCACCACTTTTCACCGGAGACTCGGTCATCTTTGAAAATCGCTCGCAATTGCAAATAAAGTCATTCGACTGTAAAAACCAATCATATTCTAGATGCTGGCCCGACACAAACGTTCGCTCTGTTTGTATCCACGCGGGGTGTCGCAAAGTCGCACCGCATTTCCAATAGCGAACGGATTTAGGTAGACACGGCATTTCTACACACACACTGTTACACACAACAGTACTGCTTCCATTAGTTTTGCAATTTCGCACGTGATTTTTAGAAGCAAAGAGATTTGGACATGAAAGACTGACGTTTCTACTATTCTCACCGGGTGCTGCAAAGACGCATGAATTTTAGAAGCAATTTGAAATATGTTTGAAAGGAAAACACTGAAAGGAGTTTATACTGTTATACAGAGCTTTGTACTGCTATACAGAGCGTTATACTGTTCGCGCCGAATTCCGCAAACTCGGCTAAATTAAAAACTACAATAATATTTTTAGAGGAACTAGAAAATTGACTTGATACAAACAAAAGTTTATTTGGCACCGGCGGTGATGGGAGTGGGAAGGACCTGTGACAAATGAGGTTTGTACCTAGACAGATATTTACGATCGAATAAAAGTTTTACGACATTCCCTGACTCCGACGTTTTGTCGCCAGGTGTCGCTCTGTCGCGCGATGAGGTCATCGTTTGCTTTTCGCAGTCCTAGCACGTCATTGAAAGGCGCTGTCAACGCTCCGGTGGCGTCCTCTACACTGATTTACGGATGCTCAGTAATTAATCGAGGGGGTGACGTCAGACCTTCAACCGTGCCCATAGATAATACAAATGGGTACAAACAAACATAGCTAAACAATGGGCATGTGTGTCACGGGTAAAAACGCGGCGCGCGAAAACGAGTAGCCGCATTGTTTTCATCTCACGGCGGTTCCTCTTTAGGGTCGCTTCGATACGGCCGACTATAATAGAATCACGTTGTGTTCCCTCAGCCGCGCTGGGTGGTGCACTCGATTGCCATTTAGTTGAGGCTATCATCTCTTGCTAATTACTGTCCGTGCCGAATGCGATTGTTTTACGGCACGCTTAGAACAATGGGTTAGCGACAAAGCCGCAGCGTTAACGATGTACCAGCCATCCTGCTAACTACTGTGATCACGCGTGCACGCGTCGCGCAGGGAAACAGCCCATTGTCGGTGTGTGTCGGTAGTGTTCGCTTTGACTATGGTGTGTGTGTGTGTGTGTGTGTGGTTGGGGGGGGGAATGAAGCTATGTCTCCACACACGCGGCACGACACGACACAGCAAAATGCAGCGCCGTTGTGCTGAAAAAACAACAACATTGTGATTTCGCGCATTGTGTCTGAGCGCATTGTGTTCACTCTGGTTCAGTGATCAGAAATTATGCATGTGCTTGTTGTCCATTGGCTGATAGTGGCCTGAGCAGAACACGTGATAAAAAACAGTCGCGTCAATTGTCTTTTCGCCGTCACGTCAGCCGGCAAAAGTCAAACTG